TAAATATATATATTATATATAATGGTACACACTACTTGAAAATTTTTGAGTTTTAAGTCTCATACATATTTTGACACCTTTCTGTAAAATTAGAAACCTTCTTTAAAATATATTGCATAAGTAGCTTTCACTGCAATAACCATGGCCCCGTTACAAAACTGTAAAATAATGTTTTTCTTACAAAATCAAGATCATTTGCTACCCAAATGGAGAGTGCACTTGGGAATGTATATTAGAAAAGATTTTGAAATTATTCACATAAGTTTTTAAACAAACACATTTTTCATACAAGGGGCTGTGTGTCAGTTGACTAAGTCTAAGACTGCCCAGTTTCCTGGGGATGAAAAACTAGTATTTCAGGCTGAGAAAAGCATATAAATATGTTGGAAAAAAAATCTGCTGCTGCCAAAATTTAAGAGTAAAACTGAAGATGCTGAGACTGTGTGCATGTCTATCCATTGCCCTAGTGCAATAGGAAGGACTGCCATGCTAGGACCACAAATAAAATACTTGTGGATAATTAATTGTGCGTGCAGTCGGTGCACACGGGAGCTATTTGTCATTTTTGAAAAACACTCTGCATGTTTAGGCATGTCTGGTGCTCAGTGGTACCTCACAGCATCCACCGTACACCTAGCGCTTTGGCAAACTGTTGAATATCACATTGCTATACAGAAAGGCTGACAGTGAGCAGAAATTATTTTTTGTAGACACGTTAAAGGCTCCTTGTTTAGTCTCAAGGGCAGATTTAACAAGTGTAATACTCTTTAATGACTGCCTGTTGAGGTCTTTTTGAATGGGTCATTCATTGATGGCACTTTAAAATGACCGTGCATTGTTTCCACTAAGATTTATCTTTCAAGTTTTCCTCTTGACCTTCTTGCATTCAGTGATGTTCCTCTGAGAGTTATCCTGACATTTCCCAAAATTTCAGTCCCTGTAGGAAATCTTGAATATCAATTCATGAGTGTGAATGTAAGTTCATAAGACTCATGCAGCATTAACTTCATAGTACTGAGGCTAATGATTTTTTCTCCTCAAAGAGCGCAAGAAAACAGAGAAGTTTTTAGTCTTTTTATAGGTATAGAGCTACGGCACAGATTGCCTGAATTGTCCAAGGTAATGCAAAAAAGTTGACAGCAGAGCCAGGAAGAGAACCATTATCTCTGGAACACATAAAAGATTCCTTATTCCGTAAGAATATCGTGCCTTGCCTAGAGGTTTTTTTATGGTGTTACATCATACCTTCAAGATTCAGACTGGTGACAAGGCTCCAGTGTGGCCCCAAGTCCACCGAGGAACCAGGGAAGAAGTTAGATCTGCAGACCAGATGGAATGTGTATGCTGGGGATCCGTCCAAGAGCTGGAGCTGAGCCTACAGCAGTGCTCGTATAAAACTATGCCTACAGCAGTACTCAGGTGGGGCTTGAGCCTGTGGTCAGGGTGTGGGTGGAGGCCCCAGGTGAGGCTGGTAAGTGTCCTTCAAGGCCTATTTGTTCCCTCACGGATATGACAGTTGCTATGGGCAGGTTGTCTTGGTGCATTCAAGAATGCAAAAGGCTGGTAAAACGCTGGTTCCAGGCTGTAGGTTGTACCTGGTAGCTGCAGGTTAAGGACAGCAGTGGAAAGAAAACCAGCTCAAGTAAGGAATAGTACGGAACCACGGAGATCTCGGGCCTGACTCGAGAAAGGGTCCTGGCCATCACTGGAAGGGCTTTGAGAGAGAGGAGAGAAAGGTGTTAGAGAACACGAAGGCTGACAAACCATCCCTTGCCAAAGTGAAGGCAACAGCAGGGCTGAAGGATACTGATCTCCCACCAACAGCCAAAATTCCCTGTAAGAGACTGTTATGAAGACCAGCATGGTTCCAGGAATAAGAGATTTAGTTTGTCAGAACAGGAAGATAACTGTTTGATTTGAGTTTGTTTTGTTTCTCTGAATTAGGTTTAGATCTTTAGGAATACACCTAAAACCAAAACTGTATACACTATTTTGAATTGTTTACCTGATCCCTTGTTTGTCGTTGGACAGATGACTTGTGCCTCCTATCCCTCAGCTTTTCACATGTGGGAAAAAAAGAGGTGTAACACTTGCTAGCCTGCAGTCTAAAACAATTGTAAGATAAAAGTCATGTGCTTGAGATTTTAAGAAAAACATTTCCATCAAGTTTTATGATACACTTACTAAATCAAAAGATACATCATTAAATAATGAAATTCCTGAAATTCTTTGAAACATGACTTAACAGCTATATTGAGCAGATAAAAATGGATGTGGCAGCGTGGAGGGTCAATATTTATTAGTTCATGTTTCTCATCTCTTTCTACCTTTCATCTTTTTACATCTTTAAATTGTGTCTGCATTCTTTGTGAAGCACTGCAGATTTCATCAGCATCACTTTGTTTTCCATTTTGTTTCGTTTTTGTATTTCTGTTCTTCTGAAGACACATAAAAGATTGTTTTTATGCTCTGAGTAGCTTCATGATAGACTGTTTTGTTGGAAGAGATTAAAAAGAACTTTTCCTCCTTTTGTAAGGATTTTAAATGGGACATGAGCAATGTGTGAGTTCACGGCTGATCTTTCACTTAAGGTCAGGTTTTGATTGCCCGTCTGTGTGCTTAATCAACAAATTATTGTGGTTAATACTTCACTGTTCAGGATAATTCCTTATACCAGAAATTCTACTGAGTGCAGCACCAAGTAAAATATTGACACAAGCATCATCATAGTAATTGATTTATTAATGGCCTCATCTAAAATTTGAGTATTGTGTCACCTTTATGCTATCACTTACTGTAATGCCAAACTGAGGACATAAAAGCTCATACTACTAATAATTATATCACTAGGTATTTAGTTATTTTTCCTTAATTAAATTTTAGACTGTATTCTACATGAATATACTTGTTGGTAGATGTTATGAGGAATACAAAATTATTATGAGAATACTCAATATGCATTTTTTGATTTTGAGATGTAGATTATAAATACACTTTCCAGATATTGTTAAGTGTCAGTGTCAGAGAATAAAGGGAGAAGAAGTAGGAACTGAATTGTCCTGTAGGAATAAGAAAAATACAAATTAAGCATTTTTAAGTGAGAAATATAGAGTTATGTTGTAAGCAGATGCAAAATTACTTTAGTGGAGGAAGAGATTCTATAGCTGCTATTCCATAGCTATAGCAGCTATTCTATAGCTGCTGCTGCTGCAACTGAAATTTTTCATATCTATGACTTGTATCATGGTAAGGTTTGAAAGTTACAATTAGAGATCTTTATTGTTTGTGGCAAATTTAGATACAAAGTCTGAATTACAATGGAATTTTTATGAGTAGGATTTCAAACTTCCATGCAGTTTTATTGTTTGAATCTGATGTCACACATGGATACATTTAATAACTTTACTCTGGCAAAGTGACAGCCAGAGTATTTCTCATTTTAAATATGTTTGCTTAAAGTGCAGTAATTGGAGTTTTTTTGCTGATCTTTTACTGAAGGTGAAACTTTCTGTTTTGTTTAGCTTTGTTAAGTAGCCTGACTGTTAATGGTGTCTTTGAAAAAAACCACAAAACAACAAAAACCCAAACCAACAACCAGGTTCAATACTGAACATTTGCTTTTCTAATTGACACCTTTACTCTACATCTCCATGTAATTTTCGCTTGATATCTTTCCCCATCTGTATACTTTACAGGGATTTTTCTTGGCCAGTGTTTTTGAAAGCAAAGTCTTGGAAGTTTGATCTCTGTTGCATTGACTAGACTGTAAACAAATTAATGGTGATCTGCATCTCTCTGTTTAAATGCCTTGAAGGACCTGAATGGGAATATGTTATGAGTTCCCCCACTCTGAACCTAATGGCCCTGCAAGGTATCTGCATTGGGATACCTAAAGCTCCAGGGTTTTTTTTGTCTCTTTAGCTATCTCTTTTCTCCATATATCAAATAGCATGATGACTGTCTTCTAGTGTTCAAGAAGTTATAAGAATGTTTGCGGAATCCTTCCCTTCTAGAAAGGTGTCTGTGCTCTGACGTTGTTAAATCTCAAGTCTGGTCATCTATTGCCTGAACACCTGAGCAAGGAAGATCCACCTATTGTAACTTCAGTTGGATATTTAATCTGATGCATCTGTTTATTGGGAAAAAAATAGCTTGTTTAATCCTATCTTAAGGTCAGTTTTTAACAGTTACTCTGTACAGCTGCTGTGTAGAAATAATGGTAGATTGAACCCCACCGATGAACTCAGCCTAGATACCTGTTTTTCAGATAAGAAAAATTAGATGAAAATGCCAGTTTGCACTTACTTGAGTGCATCAGTTGACTCATTGTTCTAACTGTCTTTCTTTTCTGATTATTTCTCCTTACCATGGAAAGTTTAACATACATTTTTTCTTTTCTTCTCTTTTCCAGTGCTGTGCGGAGGAGAGGAGAGTTTTTTGTGTGCCAGTGGGATCTGCATCCCAGGAAAACTGCAATGTAATGGCTACAATGACTGTGACGATTGGAGTGATGAGGTCCATTGCAGTAAGTTTCTTAAACTTCACTGTGTTCCATTGAAGCACTGAATCCTTTCAGGGAAACTCAAAAACTAAAGAAGGCTATTGGTGCAGAATAGGAGCTTTGCATAGTATTTGTGTGTATCGACATTTGGAGTCTCAGTTGCCATTCAATATGTTTACCTTTGCTCACTCTGGCCACATGGCATGTGTTTTTGATCTGTCAGATTTTATGCCTGGAAACAGATTCTAAGATTTCAACAAGGATCCATGTAGAAATTAGAAGTATTTGGGGGCATTAAAAAAAAAATGGATCAAGACCATGCATCAGAAGAGTGTTTCTGATAATAAACTGAAGACTGTTAGTTGTATCTTTTTTCTAATTCTTGATGTTGATTTTACAACCAATGCAAAGCCATCAGTTTAGAAAGTTTTCTTGGCCTCAACCCTTGATGTGGTTCATTTAAATAAATCCCAGTGTATGGTTCAGTAGAAAAGAAAAATCAATATGTATGCTTAATATCTTAATTTCTTATTTATTTGTCTGTGGTAATGTATATCTTTAGAGCTCCTATGTGTTTTTCTGTGTTGACAAAAACATACTTGGAATAGTAAGACTTAGAAAAGCTGAGCAAATGTGCAGTGAAAAGAGAAAAAAAAAATGAAAAAAGGAAACTGTGGGACATGACTAAAGAGGGACTATAGTAGAAGCTGATACCACAGAACAGTGCTGTGCATTCAGACTCTGGAAAATGCCAGACCTGGGCTTGAGTTCCAGAATATAAAGTTTAGACTCACTTCAAAAGGTTTGGTTTTATTGGTGATTTAGGAGCTTGGGCATTCCAAGGCTCACAAAGCTGCTTTTAAGGAAGTTGCTGATAGATTTTATCTGGGATGCTCCAAGGAATAAATGATGACTGTAATTTCCTTCTGGTCTCAGTATGGATGAGCATACAGTTGCAAGAAAAAGTATGTAAACCTTTTGGAATTCCGTGGTGTTCTGCATTAATTTGTCAATGCAGAACATCGTGGAATTCCAAAAGATTTACATATTTGTTCTTGCAACTGTAGATGGAGCTTTCTTTTTCTTTAATAGCCTACAGTTTGTTGAATGGAGGTTGATATAATTTCCATTGCATACAAAATATTGTATGTTTTTATCTTTGTTTTTTTCTTGCAGTGTTGACTTCACATTTTAATGTAAGCTAAGAAATTTTAAAATATCTATGAGATGATGTCTCCCAAATTCCATTAGAAATGAGAGAAGGAACTAGTAATATAAGAATAATAATACTGTGTCTTGAAAAAAACAAGCCTTTATATTTCATGAGTTAAGATTGCCTTTAAACAAAAGCCTATCTGTTAAATGATACCAGGATTATAGTCAGATAATGTCTTTTATTGGGTTACTTGGTAAGGATTGGAGAGAGGAGGTCAAGGTGAAGTAAGACCTTCTTGAATTGCACAGCAGAAATAGCAAAAACTGAAGGAGAACTTACTTGCTGGAAAGCTTGTCTGGTGAAAGATACTATGTTTCCTGCAGTCCTTGCCCCTCTCAAATTTTTAAAGTCACCTCATAGAATAGTGTGTGTAGGAAGATACCTTTAAAGGTTATCTAGTCCAACCCCACTGCAGTGAGCAGGAGCACCTTCAGCTAGATCAGGTTGCTCAGAGCCCCGTCCAACCTGCCCTTCAGTGTTTTCAGGGATGAGGCTTCTACCACTTCTCTGGGCAGCCAACTGCCATGCCATGCTCTGGTCATAGGGGCTCCCCAGGCTGCCTTATAAAGGAGCAAGGGTGGCAATGCCAGATCTCAGTCATCCAACCAGAGCTGCCAGCTCCTGGCGGGTCTCTGCTGCCTGGGCATTTCCCTGCCTCAGAAAAACCCCCTGTGCACCAAGATCAGCTGCTCTGATGCAGGCTGGGCCAACTCTGGAGCTGCTGCCTGTGGTTTAGAGAAACATTTTTAACAGAATTTATTAAGACATGGAAATATATCATTAAGACACTCTGGCCAGCCTTAATGTTCCCTTGTACTAGTAAATTTTGTTGCCAAGTAATAAACCTAAAATTACAATTTTTTTATTTTTTACACCTAGTATAAATTAAACATACCTTTAAAGGTACGTTAGTTTGGGATATTTGGTTTGGTTTTCATTATCGTCCCTCTTCAGAGTGTGACAAAGAGGAGACCTTTGGGCACCCTATTCATGTTCCCTTTTCTGACAAATGCCACAGCCAGTGTGAGGGCAGCTATGTTCTTAATCTCATTGGAATGAAGAGGTTTCTTCTTCTGTTGAGAAAAAAGCAAAACTACTGAATTTCCATTAGTGAAAAATAAAGGGCAGAAATTACTCTTAACCCTAAAAATATATCTTCTTCACGTCCAGTCAAAGTATGCAAGTTTTAAGTGCATGAGTAATTTGAAGAGTCTGCCTTATTCCTGTAGGGATCATTATAGATAACTGAAGGTTATAATTTTATAATGAATTCATAATTATTATGATTTTTTTTTTTAATTTGTAAAACATTTTTCCTTTGATCCAAGTATATGCTGTCAGATTTAAGTCTTCTACACTCATTCGTAAGGTGTTTCAGTTCAGTTTCAAGGTAGTTCAGTAGTAACTTTCACAGTGACTAACATTTCCATAATAATAACAATATTCAGTACTTCTAAAAAATTAACTGCTATTCACCACTTAAATATTTGGCAATATTTGAGAAGGAAACAAAGTTTAAACTTTTATGCTTTGTTCTATTTGTATAAGCTGAATTCTGACCGCCAGTGCTTACACATAGCTTTCCAGTATTTAATAGGAGCCAGAACAACACATTGAAAAGTTCTTCCCTTCTTACTAAGTCCAAACTTCATTTGCTCATAAGAAAGTTTTATCTAGCGTGAAATTTTTTTTCGATTTTTTGTTAATCTTGAAGATGTGGGGAATGGAGTATATGAAACAATAGCAGAAGTTTTAGCTTAAACAGCATTAATGAGTTGAAGAGGATGACTAGGTATAAATATATGACTCATTTCTAGTCCATTCATTGCTGAGGAGTTGTTTTGTCTGTACGAGAATTATAAACAAAGAGTGTGGGCAATATAGGTGGAGAAAAATATTTGATCTCTTTGTTCTAGCAAACTTATGTAGCAGTAGGTTGGTTAGGAGCAAAAATTGCAGAAAAAGGCAAGTTTTTCTACTGCTTGGAGTCTTCTGAAGAGACCACATGAGACTCTTCATGATCTCCATGAGTCAGTCAGAGCTGCAAGGAGAATCTTTTCATTATAGTTGCTTCCTAAATGATATTAAAAGGCTTTTGAACTCAAAAGGCCAAGCTTTATTAGAATGTAAAAGAAAAAAAATAATCCTTTAAAATAAAAACAATAACCCTTTAAAAGAGAAAACTGAAAGAAATTTGTAAGTCAGAGTAGGAGTGAAAAAGATTTACAAAAAAACCTGCCCTTGCTGACTGCGGCCTTGAAGATCTGAGTCTTTGAGATTGGTTTCAGTCAACACAGGAACTTTGTTTATCACCTTTGGTTTTGAAGGTACTGGGTTCATAAAAAATGTAAATGCATCCAGAGGCAATTTTCTGGGATGTCCAGGTTCCTGTTGAAGCTTCCCCCATCTGCAGTCCCAAAATACAGAACGTACTTGCTCTTGATGTTAACAAATTGGAGAAGTGTCTCTGGTTTTTAGTTGCAAAGTTACATACATGTGGGAGGGAGCTGTCTGTCCCTGTGCGGATGACTTTATCTGAGCTAAACATCTAAACTGGCTGTATGGAGAGTCAGCTGAGAGAAACAGACACTTCTGATGCATGATTTGGCTGATTTTAAGGAGTTAATTTAAATGGGCAATGTTCTTCTAGAAACTAAATGATGTAGATGTCTAAATGTACATGAGTGATTCTTACAGTTGTGCCTCCTTAATTTTAATGTTTAAAATGATATACATTATGAAATATAGAAGTCTCTGGTTTTAATCTTTTTCATATTAATAGTTCTTCCTAGAATCTCATTTTAGGATTCTGCATCAAGAAACTGATTACGTGGTGCAGTCACTTTCTGATTCCTGACTATTGGCATGCATTTTTCTCTTTCTCCTTTTGATGGGCAGTAATAAGTTAGGCTTTAGCAGAATCCAACCCTCGTTTTGAAAGTAAGGTTTAATTTACTTGGCAGTGTCACTTTTTTACACAGCTGCAGCCCAAAACTGACATTTAGGATTTCATCATGTTGCTTATATCATATACTCTGTGACTTTGTGCAATGGAAGGTACCAGCTGAGGAATCAGAATTAAGCTCAGACAACTATCAGATAGGAATATGAGCAGGAAAGAAGCTGTAACGCTGATCTACAAATGCGTAAATTATCAGTGCCAAAACTTGGAACTGTCAGAAGGATCCTTATGAGGAGATTTTACAGGTGATGTACCAAATGCAAAAGGCTCTCTTACATCCTTCTGACTGCACCTACACACACATTTCTCTAATAGGTACACTCACTTCTTCTGCCTCCGTGTGTGACTTCCTCAGTCATACTTCTTTCACAAAGGTTGAACAGGGTGAAGACCGCTTTAGTAATAAAATACAAAAGGAAATGTTTACACGTGTGCCACTGCATGCCACTCTCCGGCATAGAGTGTCTTGCTGAATTAAGGTCTTATTTACTCCTAGAAGTGGCAGAATGTGTACATTGAGTCTGCACATATATATTTAAATATACAACTTTAAAATGTAGGACTCCTAAAATCACCTCTGAGTGTTGGGCAGAGGTGATTCATGGTCAGAAGAACCCAGGATGCAAAAGTGAAGTGGTGAAAACAAGGTGTGCATAAAGAGATCAAAGGGTTGCTGAATATAAGAAATTGACCAGGCTTTATTTGTGTATAGTATAGTACAGAATAGGAATTTGTAGTTAATTTTGTGAAAACTGGGCTTGTCCAGTTTTTTTGAGCCTTTTACAAATGGCAGCTACAAAATGCCCATCTTACTCTAATGGAAATAACTAACTACCGTATAATATATGTAGTTGCAATATCTTGAAGAAAATACGTGTTTAGACTTAGATTTTCATCAAATGACACTTATTTCCTTGCAAGGAAGTTTGTATTCTTGTTGCTTACCCCGCCTGTGTGGGCCTAAGAGCTGCTGTACGCTAAATGACACTGCTGTGGCTAAAGAGGTATGAATATAAACAGGAATGGGGCTATGAATGGAGATTAAATTTACCCAGAGGAAACAACATTGAAAAAGACAGCTTCGTTTCATTTGCATGAGGAGCAATGAAAGCATAGAAATTGTCAAGAGTTACAAACTCATCAATAAGGATAAAGGTTGCCAGAGTACTTCATGCTGTTGCATACTCAAAACAAGAGTTTAGAATTTTACTCTGAGCTGACTATTGTTCTGCTTACATGAAACTAGAACTTAAATATTTTCATTTAGTTTTGGGTCTTTGGTATTTACTGTTTCATTCCTTTTGTTCGTTTAAAGCTAAGTTAACTATTGACTACAAAGCTCATGGCTCAGCCACAGTATTTGACTTTGTTCTGAGCCACTGTCTTTCACGTTGTGCTATAAATTTTGTTCAGTCGTTCTAAGGTGTTGTGAAACTTGTAGAAAGCATGAATACCTCTGTGAGGGAAGGGTAAGAGGTGACTCATGATCAACTTCTAGAGTTGAGGCTGGTGTAAAGCCTTGAGAAACTTAAAGCTAGAGTACTCACCTGGGAGGCCGAACACTTGGCTGACACTGATCCGGAGGGACAGAACGTCGGGGAGAGTGCTGCACCTTTCAGGGTGTAATATACTTAGGAGGACACTTTCTTTCAGAGTAAGACCACTGTGCAATCCTGAACAAAGGAGTCATATACCAAGAGGAGAGAAGAAAATGGTACCATGATTCTGTTGTTTAGGGATTGAGCATTTCAGCTGAGGGCAGAGACTTAGTTCCAGTCCCTGCTCTTGGAGCTCTTTCTGTGTATTGTCCAGGAAAGAGCTCATTTAAAATGCCCATATAGCCCAGTAAGAAAGGGCACAAAGAACTGCCTTCATTACAGTGGCATAGCTGCAACAGGAGGGAGGGGTTGTCCACCCAGCTGTTTTATATCCTGACATTCTCCTTGGAAGAGCCAGATGTGAAGGAAAAGCCTAAAGAAAGGCAATGAAACTAGGTCACCCACTTCCCAACTGTGTGACTGCGTGTTTGTAATCAGAAGTCAATACTGATGGAATCAGACACAACCAAGCTTATTTTCTCTTCTCTCCCCTTTCCTCACTGCACTGTAGATTTCATGTGTTTATTGAACCTGATAATATTCAAGCGTTTTGGACGTGAGAGAATATTTGTCAGGACTTTGTTGAAGGCCTCAGCCATGGAAAGAAAGGCTAAACCCCCTTACAGCTGACAGTGCTAAGAATTCCTTGATGAGATGGCATCAGGCCAGATTCTGAGCTCAAAACTGCTTGAAGAATAAAAGTTCATTCGAAACCTGTGTAAGATCAGAGGCAAGGTCTGGGAATCTTGATTTTGGTGTTAGAAGTTTCAGCTCTGTCTGATAGTGCCACATCAGGTGCTCAAGAGCATCCTAGTAACATGGCAAATGAAACGCACCACCTTTCTTGAGAACTTTATATATATAAATTAATTAAACATTTTGGTCCATATATGTAACCAGAGTGCTTCCTCCTCATGCTATTGATGAAAAACCAACTTGTAGGAACAGAAGAAATATGTCTGAAAATTGCTTTAGATTTTTCTTGTTCTTTCATGTTAAATTCTAATAAACTAGTACACACTGAGTATTAATGCAGACCCGTAAACTCTAAGGTATCTTTAGCTAATCTTGTTTTAGTCAGTACATTCCAGTGTTCATAGTTTATATGAAAGTTCCAATATCATGTTAACATTTCACAAAAATCTGTTCTGTAGACTGCAGTGAGGACGTATTTCATTGCAACACAGGAAAATGCCTAAATTATACCTTCGTTTGTGATGGATACGATGACTGTGGAGACCTTAGTGATGAACAAAACTGCGGTAAATGAAAATTTTATGCTTTTCTAAAGTCTTCAAGATAGCAGCATTGCCTAAGCCAGCAATCTTTTTTCCTTAAACTACTAAAAGAGTATTCTGTATGCTGTTACTCTTTGTGGACAAAGTGAAAACAGCTCCCAAATTGTATATGCAATTTGAAAAGGTTGAAAGGAGACTTCTGGCTTAATCCAAATTTTGAAGGTAGTGGTATTTTGAAGAAATATTCTAATTTGCAATTTGTTTTAAACTAGTTCAAGATGTTACGGTTGCTTTCTTCCTAGCTTGGCTGAATTTATTTCAGATTAAAGCAAACCATATGAAGCTGCAGACTAGTGATGCCAGCTCTTTCATAGCTGAACTGTTTTTACACAAGCTTCATATTGAACTTGTATCTTTTGATAATCAAATTGTGTTTCTTTCAAATTCTGGTTTCAATCAGCTTTGTGTGTTCTGCCACTTTATATTTGTCTTTCTACCTACACTTAACTTTCATGAGGAAAAAGAATGAAGTTTTCCTGAAAAAAAGAATAGTCTTCACGTGTAGATATTGGAAAACTTTGAAAGCCTTATTTTTTCTAACTTTTGCTCCTGATAATACACCTGAGAAAATTAAGTGCTTTAAATAATTCTTTAAAAGTTAAAATATTATTTACCACTTTTTTTTTATTTTATTTTTTCTAAGGAAAAGCACAGAGAATTTAAAAAAAATCAAGGCACGCTTTTTTTTCCTGAGATTTGCGTTATATTTCTTCTCCAAATTAAACATACTCTGAGATCTTTACTACTTTTTGTCATTTTGGTTGGTTTATGTTTTTTTTTCATAAAATGACTTTGATTAAAGACTTTTCTAAACATTAATCTGACTCCTATCATTCTTTTCTTGGGATAGCCTTTTCTCATTTAAGATCTAACTCTTTATACAGACTGTAAGTAGGTTTCATAGCAGATTATTCAGACTGGACTGTGCCTACTCTCCCTGTTTATTTTGATGTAAAGTCAGCCTGCTCAACAGCATGCTTCTCTCTATTTGTGAAAAGTAAGATGAGGACTGGAATAGTTTCTGGTAGATTATTCTGATGGAAAATTCTGTGTGTCGAAAAAGCATAGTTTCTCATTAAATGCCAGATATGGCAGTTGAGAAACTTAATATTTTCTCTTTTTTACTTCTTAGTCAAAATATAAATGTAGTGAATTATTTTCTATCATGGCAATTCAAAATGTTGGCCAACTGAACATCATTCCGTGAGATGGGAAGCTGGAAAATCTTTTAATCTGCTTCACAAATCTTAGAAACTTGTTTGCTTACACATGGAAAACAACAGTGCACCTTAGAGAAGGAATGAGTGCATCACTGTCTATATAGGCCATAGAATTTAGAACATGCGTAACTGCTATCTGCAAAAAAATCTGCAGGTGCAGAAAATCTCTTATTGTAATTCACTAATGCAAAATGACACTTTAGTAAGAATGATTAGCTGATAGGTTTAGAGCAATTGATCAGTAATATAAATTATACAAATTGTAACTTATAATCCATTTTTTGTCCTCAAATTTGCATTTTATTTAGATTGTAATCCAGTGACACATCATCAGTGTGGAGATGGGAGATGTATAACAACTGATTGGGTATGTGATGGTGACCATGACTGTATAGACAAATCAGATGAAATCAATTGCTGTAAGTTCCCTTAATCTCTAAATTAGTCTTTTCTTTCTTTAAAAATAATAATAATAAAAAAGTAAGATAAGTAGTGTACTTACTTATTACTTGCAAGGCAAACCTATAAGCTTATTTGATTTCAGCAGTTCACACCTGACGATTGTCCCTTCTGGTACATAGCTACAGCAGATTGTCCCTGTTGTTGAGAAGTACCAGCATTGCCTTGTGTTTCAGCTTCTAGTTGATCGCTAGATTAGCTTTTTTTAATGGTAATGTTCCCATTAGGAGCAATGAATGAACTGTAGGCATTCTGAGTTTGTGATAGCTTTCTGATGTGTTGGTATGTGACCTGTCACACCTTGGCAGAGTTTAGATTTCTCTCTGCTCCACGAATGAAGGTGTGTAGATGCAAAACAACTATGCTAGAATATTGCTGAGGTTGCAAAATCAAGTCTTGAGGTACTAGCACGTGTTTTGAGGTGAGTCACATTCTCGTTAAGACATATCCTATGATGCTTTGGTTCTTGCTGCCGTTCAGTGCTTGGACTTTAAACGCTATGCTACAATTTTCACAGAAATCTAAGAACGTAATCTAAATAAAGGAATATAAGTAAGTGGGCAAAGATAATGTGACAGTTTCTATACGCGAGTAAAAGTGATGTGTTTTTATTTTTTGGAAGAGCTGAACCTGCATCTCAGCCTGTTGCTGAGCTGACATATACAGCTTCAGTCCCAGTTAAAGATCAGCATAGGCTGTTGAAAACATAGCCTGCATATAATAAAAAGAAAGTCTAGTGACCTTCAGTGATAAGCAGTGTTACAAGGTCCTCCTAAAATAACTTCAAGGTGATGCTCAAAAATAATTAAAAACTTCATTAACCTAAGTTGATTGGAATGTCATCTTTTTTCTCTCTAGCATGTCATAGTCAGGGTCTGGTGGAGTGCAGAAATGGGCAGTGCATTCCTAGTGCGTTCCAGTGTGATGGGGATAATGACTGTAAAGATGGAAGTGATGAAGAGAACTGCAGTGAAAGTAAGGATATCCCTCATTTTACTCTTCTAACTGAACCTACCTTTGACTGCTTAGTTCTGAAGTGCCTTTAACTAAAGCTGTCTGACAAATGTCTTTGCCTTTCAAACAACAGTTGCTGGGGCTGGTTGGTGTCTGCTTTCACACAGGAAGTTATAAGCAGAGTTTTATTAGTCCTTAAAAATCTAAAAAATTAATGAAATGGAGGTGATATGTAGCATAGTATTTGGTTATCTGACATGATCAGCTGTTACATGAAATAAATTAACGCGTGTTCACATTGTCTGCGACAATTAGAAGCTACTGTCACAGGGATTGGTGACATTTAAGGAGGAATTTTCTTCTGAAAATCCTTTTCTCATCAGAACTTGGGAATCAGAGAAAGGATGTTTTCATAAATAAACTAATAATTTGGTGTGACTAAGGGAAAATATATAAGAATGTAAGTTTTCACAGCTATTTAGTAGCTGTCTTTTGATGAATTGTGTGAAAGAAAAGGAAACCAGGCAGCTTCTTGAGCCCCGAAACACGGTTTCCCAAAGACTTGCATTCTGTGGTGCATTTTGACACTCAGACACGTTGCCATGCTGTGGTGGTTTCAGCATTTGAAGGTATTTTTCACATGTAATTTTCTTGTTTCAGGTAAGGTATAGGTTCAGACTGAAGTAATTCCTTCAGTGTGGGAATTATTAATATCTGTTTCCTATTAATCTGATTTAAAAAAAAAAAGAGCATTATTATTTAGAAAACCCTAGTGCTGAAATGAAGCATAAATTGAACAGTACAAAACTATTCAGAGCATTCTGTAGTCAACCATTTCAACTTTTAAAATCATCCAAGTTAAGCCTTTTAAATTTATCACTAGTAAAAGAGAATTTCATTGAAAATGTTGATGTGTGATCTGGGCTAGAAATTATGTTTTGTTTTGTTTTCACTGCTTTTTTTCCTCTGGATGTTGAAGAAATAGTTAAAAATTTTTTTTTTATTTTTTTTTGCAAGATGAACAAATACAGATTCAAGGATACTGCATGCAGAGGAGTAGGAGGGGAGATAATTATGTAGTCAGTGATGTCCCTATATGCTGAAAGACTTTTATGCTTAGGAGTAAACTGCAAAGCTTTTAGTTACAAAAAATTTCCTTGTTCTTACTATTCATTCTTCAGTGTGCAAAAAACTTTGTCCAGTATTTTGCAATATTGTGGAGAGTAAAATTCTTCCTTTATGTAACTGTATCCTGTCTGTCCTAATTTTGCATAAGAATATTTAGACAGAAATTGGACCTCAGTTGAATTGTCTTTAGTTCCTTGCATAGTCCATGTCAAAGCAAGGCAGAATTCTTGTTTGTCACTTTCTTTGTTATTTATATTATATATATAATATATATGTTATATATATTGCTGATTTCAGCAACTACAGGAAATGTAATAGAACTTACACTTAATACAAAGACTTCTTTTGCTTTACAAATCAAACAGTTTGGATGTGCCTAGCAGAGGCAGTGAAGTTAGGGCTAAAGTGATCTGGGATATTAGTTCTGCTATAAACACAGAAATCAGAGTAGAAATTTGAAGTCAAGGTGTAGTGACTTGCCACTTGCCCATATTAAGGGTACAAGACCTTCAGGTGTATACACAGAGGGATTACAAATGACATTACTTCATCAATATCTGAATGAGAAAAATTATCTCCTTCACTACATACCCTACTGCTGTCAGATGTTTTGTGGCAATAGAAATGTACTCACAGCTAGTTCTGTGATCCCTTCAAAAGACAAGATAGAGTGTGTTTATAGAAGTTCAGCACTGACTGTGTTAGGATCAAAAGAATCTACACTGTAGTACAGGGATTTTTAAAGAGTTAAGAAACTCTTCCACTGTGGGATAAGGAGTTTGAGCAAGCTAGAAAAAATAATTTTAAGGTAAAGATTTGTGATAGCTTTAGAAGTCAAAAGGTTTTTCCTACCTTTCAAATTCCATTTTGCAGTCAGATACACCTGTAAAATAAGACTGTTAATTGCTGCAGCAAAAGAAATTTACTTCAATATGTAACATGTATGAAGGGAAGTAAATCCACATAATTATAAATAGATATGACTACCTCATCAGTTCTTTGGGACAAGGTTGTTTTCAAGGTCATTGAAAGAACATATTTCTTCAGCATCTTCTGTATGCCCAATATAAGGGTGCCATGACTGAATGATTAATGTTTGCGGACAGTAGTGCAATACAAACATTAAGCAATAGTTGCAATGAACCATTTTAAACAGAATGAGATGATAAAATCCAAACTATTCAGTCTCTTGTGTACAGAACAGTAAATTAAATGACTGATTTTGCAAAAGTTATATGGAAGAGAGAATTAGTTGTTTGGAAAGGAGCTGTCACCACTATGAGACAGAGAGAAGTCGAGGGATTTGTCAGAGAAGCTAACTACCCAGGTAATGTGCTCAGAAAATTTTTGATGAAGTGCTGGTTTTAGTTATTCTGAATTCCATCTTTAGGACCATTTCCCTTTTGGGTTTCTTTTTGTTGTTGTTTGTTTTTTAACAAGCCAAAGAAAGACAATAAAGCGTGAGCACTGACGACCTTTCTTCAGGATGGTTTTTATTGTCCACCAAAACAATCATAAAATGAGAAGCAGATCAACAGAATGGCACTGAAGAATAATTCCCAGAGGGCATTCTCCCTCAACTAGGTCCTATTGTTTCCTTTGAAATTTGATTTACATGACTTTTCCCAGTCTACCAGAGGTTCATGGTAAATGGTTTTCAGAGATCCATACCTCTCATTCACAAACCGGGCTCTGAATTCTTACATTAAACATAAGGGTAAAGAAGAGCGACATCTAGACAGTGCTGCACACTTGCCAACCCTTCCTTACTGCACTTAAACGATACTTATTCAATTGTGTAAAGGAAATAATTGTAATGTAAACCCTGTATTTTCTCATCATTACACTTTAATCGTTCTTACCAGTCTGGTAAATAAGTAGAATAGTAAATTTCTATTTTCCTCAGGTCAAACCCTCTGTCAGGAGGGAGACCAGAGATGTTCTTCCTGTCCTGATCCCTGTGGAACTCCTCTCTGTGAGACAAACTGCAGTAAGTAGGTTACATGCCTCATACTGTCACCATTTTAAGATGTTTTAAAGCATAGTGAGGATGCAGAATAGGACACAGTAAGTAATATTGTAATTTACTATCTAATGCACATGTGTTTTGGTTAAGTATTGAAAAGGGCAAAGTTGAAACAGAAGTTTCATCATAACTCTTTGATTATTGATGTACTAAGAGGAGATATAACACTTGACATTAAGGTATTTTTCCTTCTGTGAATTTTTGATACGTTATTAATATGTGTTTACAATTGCACTTTTGTTAATATATAATGACATCCAGTGTTTATGTAAACAACATAGTGTAAGTGCAAAGCAGAAGCTACTGTTTTATTTTCAAAATATAAGAAAACATGGTACTGTGTTTAGAACTCTGTAGAACTTCTAGCCCTGTTATGAATGAATAATTTTGACTTTTAGACTGGCAAAACTAGTTATCCTTCTGACCGATAGATATCATAGAGGATCAGCTTCTTCAACACTGTATATCTTCATTTCTGTGTCTTATACTATACCACTCCATGCAAGCCTTCTGTACCCACTGTACACTTGCTTCTGAGTGGCTCTCTTTCTCACTTGTGCAATGCAGCACTGTGAACAGATACTCAAAAGTAGTATATTTGACCAAGTTTTGAAACTAGGAAGAACTGTATTCAGAATTATTCAGAATTAGTTAAAACTTGATGGTGTGTTGATACAGTTAAGGTTGTCTTGGCGCATAGGCAGGCTTGCCTTCACTTGCATATGAATATGTAGACATATCCTGTAACTGCTTTATGCCCAGCAGTTATCTCTGAAGGTTATGGCTTGGTACTATGTGGTAGCTTGTTTGGATAATGTTACTCCATTTAGGTTGGAATGGATATGGAAAGGTCAGCTGCTGAAGTAAAGTCTACTAAGTCAAGTCCCTAAAGTTGTCACTGCTGTCCATGAGTGTTTGTTTGAGATAGGTACAATTTGTGCCAAGGCCTCTAGGTGCTGCTGAAGTAAAGATGGCAGATACTTGAGCATGTATGCTTTTCATGTGCTTCTGTCAACACTTCTCCTAAGATTTTGACATCATAAGTACCATGTTTAGCATTGGAAGGAAATTTGTTCACTTTGGTCAGCTAGTCTGAACTCCTGATCAAAGCAGCGTCGGTTCAGTTATGTGGCTCATGACCTTGTGCAGCTGAGTTTTGAGTAGCTCCAAAGACAGAGATTCTACAGTCCTTCTGGGAGACCTATTCCAATGTTAGACTCTCCATTAAGACCAACTTGCTGTCCTTCAAGCAGACGTCGGTATGATTAAAACGATCACAAGTACCAGGGCCTGCAATCATGAGGCATCTTCCAGCTCTCTGAAGAAGGGTTCATCTACCGCCTCTTTTTGCTGGGTGGTCTGCAGCATATGCCTACTATTCACATCACCTTTGCAGGTCTGGCCTCTAATCCGTATCCATAATGAAACTACTTGGGTGAGAAGGAGCCTTCTAAGGTCATTGGAGTAGTAGGTATTGGGGTTTTTTTACTTGCCTAGTGTGAACCAAACCATAATTCTCACTGAAGGAAATATTTGGAACGGGTTATGAAATAGGAAGGAAGGTATCCACATAGCACAAAACTAGCAACAATCCACTGTATTTTTTTTAAAAAGTTTAATTATTTTTTTTTTGTTTTGAAATCTTAGATATCTTCTTTTAATTGGCTTGATAATTTTCACCTCTGTGTCTTGCAATTCATGGTCAGGTATTACCTCCCATGAGAGGCTGTCCCCCTCCTGGTGAAAAGGAAGCAATATATCTTGGGGTACATAGACTAATCAAGGAGATAAGATTGATTCTCTGTGGGCCGAAGGTTTGTGGGAGTGAAGGCATTTTGCTCCCAGATCTCCCTGCTTGCTGGAGAAGCAGCAGCTTTAGCAGCATGCACCTGAAATTGCTTGGAACTGTAGGTACCTGGCATCTCCAAAGAAAATAGTTCTTCAAGTAACCTTTTTTCGTCTTTGGTGAGATGTAAAGGTCATATTTTCCTGATGTTTTAAGGTCAGAATACATGAGTATTCAGTGAGATATAATTACTGACTTGCATAACTCCACTGTAGGTAGTCACAAGTGTAAATGTGCATGATAAGATTGATTCTCTGTGGGCCGAAGGTTTGTGGGAGTGAAGGCATTTTGCTCCCAGATCTCCCTGCTTGCTGGAGAAGCAGCAGCTTTAGCAGCATGCACCTGTAAGAACAGGTGTTGCTTCTCCTTTTCTCCATTTGAAGATTGGCCTTTTTTATTTGAGCATTATTGACTTTGTGGCAAAACTGTGGTTTACCCAGGAATGGGTGTTTCCATATTGCTATCTGCTTTTTCAAAACTTCTTTACTCATAATGCTTCCAAAACTTCAGAGACATTACACTAAACTCTTTTTTATATGGTTAAAACTGTAGCAACTTTACATTTAGTCAGGTCAAAAAAGAGTACGTTTTAATTTTATTTTGAAATACTTATAACTTCAACTGTTTGGTAAAGAACACACAAAATGTATCTGATATGTTGTGGCAGGATCAGCACTGGCCACACAGCTGATGGCTGTGTAGTGACCAGTCCTGCATAAGACAGGTCCTCTGTTTTGGCTGGGAACAAGGCACCAGCAGCAGCCTTACCCAGCAAGTAGGAAAATGCATGTTTTTTTAGAAAAAACCTTTTTCCCTGTGAGGGTGACAGAGCACTGGCACAGGCTGCCCAGGAAGGTTGTGGAGTCTCCTTCTCTGGAGACATTCAGCACCTGTGTGACCTACTGTAGGTGATCCTGCTCTGGCAGGGGGGCTGGACTAGACGATCTTTCGAGGTCCCTTCCAACCCCTGACATTCTGTGATTCTGTGATTCCCACAGTAGCCTCTGGTTCTTACATACTCAGGGAGCAGTTTTCAGGCAAATTACCTTTCATGAACAGCGACTACAGTCCTGTAAAAGGCAACAATCTTTCAAGCAACGTGACTGTAATTCAGTCGTTTTCACAGTAAGAGAGAGCTGGAAGTGTGCTTGCTCTCTTGGACTCAACTTCCTTGTGGATCAATCCATATGAGACTTACTGTGGTCCAATGTAGTTTGTCCTGTGGTCCAAAATCTTTTCCTGATTAATGTGGACTTTTGTATCCTGTTGTATGTATGGATACAACATTTTTTGACATATGATGTTTGAGTTCTAAAATAATGTTTCTATTCCATGTAAAGAGAAACCCAAGAGTTTTTTAGTGAAGATATCTCCTCATTATGTTATGGGCAACAGCCTGTAATTCTCAACAGGAGTAACACATAATCTGCATTAGGTTTATGGATCATCTCTCATTGTGGTCCAGTGAATATTTAATTGTTTATGCACAATGGAACAGCAAGAGAATTTTTGAGACATTTTTCTTTCATAACATCTGGAAGTACTATTGTCTTTCTTATGTTGTTTTCACTGTTCATATTTTGACCAGAATAATTTTGTCTTCACTAAGAGATGAGAGTTCGTGTGGAAAATTTCAATTTTGACACAGCAGTGTTTTCTGGCCCAAATAGCTCTTTGAAAGCTTAGGCCATATTTTGAAATATTGAATTGGTGGATGTTCTTCATGTCTGATAATATCTGAACAGTTTAGGCTGGTTTTATAATGGAGTTACAACATAATTAGGATAACAGAACAAATATCTGAAGGGAAAGTGTAAAGTAGATGGAGCCAGGCTATTTCAGTGCTCAGTGACAGGAGCAGAGGCACTAGGCACAAAATGAAACAGGAGATTCCCTCCGAACATAACACTTATTGTACTGCAAGGACGACTGAACATATTGCCCAGAGATGTTGGGGAAACTCCATCCCTGGAGACATTCAAAAGCTGTCTGGACATGGTTCTTCACAACTGGCTCCAGGTGAGTCGCCATGCCTGCAGGTATTTAAAAGACATGTAGATGAGTGCTTAGGAACATGGTTTAGTGATGAACCTGGCATTGCTAGGTTTATAGTTGGACTCGATGATCTTAAGGGTCTTTTCCAACCTAAACAATTCAATGATTTTATGATTGCACATACTTTATTGTTCATTTCCTTGAGTTTCATGATGAAATTCTGATGAACGTGTAGTATGCTGTACATATCAAGAAAAGGTGCTTATTAGTGAAAAATCAGAAGACAAACTCAAACTGATCCAATCATTTGGGGCTGAAGTGTGGGAGGACAAGGAAGGGTTCATCATGAAGAAAAGGAAATGGCAGTGGTGTGAGGAGGTTTGTTGAGGTCTTTGAACCTCATACAGTCCTAAGCAGTGGTTAAGTGGTTTGAGACAGCAGAAATAGTTCAGTATGAGCAGTATGCAGTGATTTAGCAGAGAGGAAAAGAAGTTTATAAAAAGAGATTTGTGATTCTCTCATTAGAGATTAGTACTAAAAGAGGTTATAACAGGGAATGCCAGTCCAAGAAAGACTGTCCAGTTCTGCTGATCCACTGAATAACAGACTTGGATCTTCTTTCAACTTCCTCTCAAAGATCCAGCTGTAGGATCACACAGTTGCCACACTGTGCAGACAACTGACCGTAGTGACTGACAGAGAATATTAATCATGTTAAGATACGTTTGCTTCCAGAGTATGCAAATATATGCAGTCTTTTGATGACTTCTGAGCACCACACTTCTTCATGGAAAATTTTCTCATATTTCAAAAGTAAACAAATAATTTCACATTGGCCTCAGCATGCTGAATAAAAAGCTGAATTTCTGTCTGAACTGAAGTTCTGTCTATTGTTTTCTATTTGGTGGAAAATTGAAAAATAATATTTCTGACTACCAATTTTGGAAGAAATACAAAAGCTATTCATTTTTTTAAATCCAAAGTGCTCAGTTAGTTCAATATGTGTTGTGATAAACCCTTTTAAAGCTGAATGATTTCTGTATATAACTAGAGTCTGTGTAATCACATGGGCTTGCACTTATTTTGCTCTTCTTTATCCTTCTCTTTACTATCAGTTATGTCTTACCTCAATCAAATTATTAGCATGTAGACTGTCTCTTTCTACATAACCTTAATACATAATCTAATTGTCCCCATTCTTCCTTCAGATCTTGGCATGCAAAAAAAGTAAATATCCTGCCTTCTGTTCTCTGTACAGACAAACTGTGCGATCTCTGTCATTAGAGATTTTTCAAGACCCGGCTCAATAAAGCTTTGAGAAACCTAATCAGTACTGAGAGCTGACCAAGCTTTGAGCAGGACATTGCACTATAGAACTCCTGAGATCCTTTCCAACCCAAAGTAACCCATGATCCCAGACTCCTTAATTTTGATAATTACCCTGCCCTTATGAGGTCGCATAGTATACCAGTAGGAAGCATGTTGCTGTATGGTGCAGGAACTCATGAAAGTCATCAGAAATTTGATTTGAAAAGAATAAATCTGTTCTTAATGGTTTATTGTACGTTGTTAAGGTTAAGATGTTACTCAGGAAGTTAATGCCTATTGGTAAGGGAATGTAAATCTCTGAATACGTTACTAGGTAGGCAGAGGTCAAATCCAACTTGATTCAATTGTATGAATAGGCTCATATGGAGCCTTGAGCTCTGAAACCTCTGGTTTCTGAAGCCTGAGAGGAAATCCCCTGACTCACAAATTTGTTAAATACTTACATGATTATTTCTTCTGTATTTCATTTAATCTCGCACCATTTGTGTTTCTTTTCTTGTTTTCTTTCCGTGAAAGGTCATTGTGAACCAATTACTCTGGAACTCTGTATGAACTTGCCTTACAACTATACATATTATCCAAACTACTTGGGCCACAGGACACAGAAGGAAGCCTCTATCAGCTGGGAGTCTTCTCTTTTCCCAGCCTTGGTTCAGACCAACTGCTACAAGTACCTTATGTTTTTTGCCTGTACAATCTTAGTACCGAAATGTGACCCCCATACAAATCAGCGGATCCCACCTTGCAGGTACTATGCTATACTTCAATTAATTCTTGACTGACATTGTCTGCTGCATTAGTCTTCACCAGTTTCCTTTTTACATTGAAAATGCAGAAAATTTTCCTTTGGAATTCCATAGCAAATGGTAGAGAAACGTATTTTATAAGAACATTAAATGTAGTTCATTACACATGTGAGATTAGTATCTGAAGTATTCAAACCAAGGAGAGGAATAGCAGTTCAATAATTTTCAAAATATGTATATCGAATAGACTAGACTAAACTATTTCAGTTGGAAGGGACCTAAAATGATCATCTAGTCCAACTGCTTAACTAATTCAGGCCTGACCAAGTTAAAGTGTGTTATTAAGGGCATTGTCCAAATACCTCTTAAACACTGCCAGGCTTAGGGCATTGACCACCTCTCTAGGAAGCCTGTTCCAGTGTATGGCCATCCTCTCAGTAAAGAAATGCTTTGTAATGTCCAGTCTAAACCTCCATTGGTGCAGCTTTGAGCCATCCCCATGCATCTGAACGTTGCATACCAAGTCACCATCCAGATGTAGCCCCATTCACTACAACCCTTTGAGCTCCGCCCTTCAGCCAGTTCTTTACGCAGCACACGATGAACCCAATCACCCCGCAGCTGGGCAACTTGTCCAGAAGGATGCTCTGAGGTTTGTATGAAGCATGTTTCATTTATGTATGTTTGTTTAGAATTACACCACTCTAAAGGATATTTAAACATAGAATCAATTAATTTAATTTGGAGTGTTAGCATTTGTAGTAGTTCTGTGCATTAATCACTTTGTCTATGCAAAGCCTGATTCAAGTATTACTAACAACACCTGAGATTTTAGTGCATGCTTAACTTTCGAAATTAGAGGAGTGCCACATCATTCTGAATGACTACCTCAGGCTTTCTGCTTGCCAGATTTTTACCATCCTTGTCAATTAACATTGCTGTACTTTTTAGAGTTACGTCCATATGTTCAAAAGATACTATGTTCTGTAAGTCTTACGGCTTTGATAGCAGCAGTTTTTGCAGATTAGGAGGGCTAATAAGCCTGATCAGCAAGCTGAGTTCTTGGAGCTACGGGCTGCTAAAGCCTTCTTATACTGTATTTCTCTTTACTGAGCCTACCCTGACAATATTGATCAATTAACATGTACTCTATTGAAAGAAAGGTGCATTAAAAAATGCAATGCATGTCCTAAGATCTCCTATCATGTGACATTGTTGACAAATAGATAACATTTGTCTAGTGATGTGCTGCTTAGTGCAAGTTAAGAGTGAGTCATAGCAAAACGTAATATAATACTTAATTCTCACATAGGGACCTAACAGGAAAGTTAGAATATTTCATATAGGATAGCTGCAAAGTTACAGAGTGATTTGTGCAAGCTCTGTTTCAGATTTTCTTGTTTGAAATTCAAGGGTTTTTTCTTTTTTTTTTAAAGTAAGCAGTATAATAAATAAAAATTGGGCTAGTTCACTCTAATGTAGAGGGATAAAAGTTAAATTATAGGATCTTTGCTTCAGAAACTCCATACGTACCTAACAGATTCTAGAAAGTATCGCAATATAGTTGAATAGTCTTCAAATTTAAGGCATTAAACAGATGAAGATGAACTTACAGAAACCATAGAATAATTTAGTTTAAAAGGACCTCTGGAAGTCATCTGGTCCAACTTTCTACTCAAAACAAGGTAACATCACAATAAGATCAGATTGAATATACAACATAATATTCTAAAGCCTAGAATTCAAAGATTTACTTTTATAACTGTTTTCAGGTTTCACTCTTATGTTAGATCACAAGTAGAGAGTGATTTTATCAGGAAGGGATATGTTGGAAGGCCCCACAGAGATCTGCAGTATTTGCTTTACAGTAGCATCTGAGAAATAATTTCAGACACAGATATAATGTAAACATGTTTTATAATTTAAAACACACATAGCCTCATACCAGTAATTGCTGGAGTTAATTGGCAGATCTAAGGAAGAAAACAATTAAATACAGTAGCTATATCAATACAAATCTATTTAACTATAATTTGAAGGTTTTAGACGGTGGAATGTTATATTCTGAGCACAGAAACTTTATTTTGAGAATCTGCTGCTGCCTCTGCAAGATAACTGTCCTCATGTTCAAGGTTATCTTGAGCTTAACAGGACATGTATTGTTTTATTTGTCTTTTCTTGTAAATATGAAACGAGATTCAACTAATGCAGTTTTTTTGTGTTAAGCTTTTGAAGTCAAAGTGCACTTTCCAAACAGGAGTTACAAATTCATGTTATAATTTTGCATCTGTTATAAAATATACTTATCAGAGATGTATTACATATTTTAATACTGGCACAGTGATCTGTTCTTTTCATAGAATCCTAGGATATTTTGGGATGGAAGGGATGTTTAAAGGTCATCTAGTCCAGCACCCCTGCAGTGAGCAGGGACATCTTCCAGTAGAGCAGGTTACTCAGAGCCCCATCCAACCTGCCCTTGAATATTTCCAGGGATGGGGATTCTACCAACTCTATGGGCCACTTGTTCCAGTGTCTCACCACTTTCACTGCTGAAATTTTCTTCCTTATATCTAGTCTGAATTGACCCTCTTTTAGTTTAAAACCATTACCCCTTTTGTGCTATTGCAACAGGCCCTGCTAAAAAGATTGTCCCCATCTTTCTTATAGACCCCCTCTAAATAGCAAAATGCCACAATAATGTCTCCCCAGAGCCTTCTCTTCTCTGGGCTGAACCACCTGTCTTTGTAGTGGAGGTGCTCCAGCCCTCTGATCATTTTTGTGGCCCTTCTCTGGACCTGCTCCAACAGCTCCCTGTCTTTCTTGTGCTGAGGACTCCAGAGCTGAACACAGTACTGCGGGTGGTGTCTCACCAGAGCAGAGTAGAGGGGCAGGATCACCTCCCTTGTCCTGCTGGCCGTACTTGGCCTTATTGAACCTCATGAGGTTCACGCTGGCCCAATTCTCAAAGTTGTCCAGGTCCCTCTGGATAGCATGACATGCCTGAGGGATGTGATGCTATCCAGAGAGACCTGGACAGGTTTGAGAAGTGGGCCAGCAAGTGGGCCACTTGGTGTCATCTGCAAACTTGCTGAGGGTGCACTTGATCACACAGAATCATAGAACTATTGAGGCTGGAAAAGAACTCTGAGATCATCAAGTCCAGCCTATGTTCCAACACTACCACATCAGCCAGACCACGGCACTAAGTGCCACATAC